GAGTGAGTGAGTGAGTGAGTGAGTGAGTGAGTGAGTGAGTGAGTGAGTGAGTGAGAGAGTGTGTACTGAATGAATGAGAGGATGTGTGAGTAAGTGAACTAGCGAGCAGGTTGACCAGTAGGTGAGTCCTTACCCTTCTCACACTTCTTGCCCGTGAAACCTAGAGCACACATGCACTTGAAGTCACCCTTCAAGTCTTCACAAGTAGCTCCGTTCTGGCACGGTATTTCAGCACACTCATTCACCTCTGACTCACAACGATCTCCGGTGTAACCACGGACACAGTTACACCTGTGGAGAAAGACAGAATACATTTGAGATGGATTACATGAATAAAGATGAATACTTCTTTCAACTCTATAAGGTTAGTCATGAAGCCGGACCTCCGAATTAAATGGCGGTCTCTCATACGACACACCACAGAGCCAGAGAGTCTTGAAAACTCCCCGAAAATCGTAGGTCAATCGAGAACTCTCAAAATGGGAATTTGAATTCACCCTGATATCAAGAGGGCTTATTGTCCGCTACAGATTTTAGTTTGGCAGGGAATGACTTACGTTTTCTGTCCCTTTTCAGCACAGTACAACTCTTTTCAAGGCAAGACCTTGAGTGCTAGTCCATCCTCGAAGCGACCTTGCAAACTAGGTGAAGAACAACATGAAAACTGATGAGACCATCCAAGTTCAAGACCATACTAATAAAGTTTCAAACAAGGTTGCCCACACAGCAAGCTTAAAAGAAGCCAACTGAGATAACACCATGGTTTTTGTCTTCGTTTATTCAATTCCCATTTTGGCTAAAATGAAGAATATTTTGGTGGGTCAGCTTCTCTTCACACTAGTTTCGCACATGTTCATCAGCAAACCACAGAAACACACGTTTAGGGTATCGAATTTGTACTGCGCACCACGGGCAAATATTCTTCGTAGTTTATTTGAGAGATTATCGTAGTTAGTGCAAATGCACGTCTCGGTTTCACAACGCCTTGGCGTGCACCCGCAAAGTCACTATCGGATAGAAAGATATTATCACCCAAGGGAGACGAAAGGCATTTTAGTTAGCGAATCAGACAGTTTGTCATGGTTAGAAAGACAAATCACTGCTTGCAACATCCCCACGTTTGACTTAAGTTTGCGATTGTACATAAACATACAGAAACGAAAGTAAGATAGCGCAGAATCCATCAGAGGCAAAAACGACGTCCCTTCCCCCTGGTTCTTCAATTTCTACTTTGTTAAAGAGTTTTGCCACGGGTGCTGCTATGTTGGGGGTTCTAGCAACTACCTCTTGCACAGGTAGACAGAACAACAGCTAAAGGAGAGAATGTGAATTATCATTCATATATTCCTGTTCTTCTATAAATGTGTGTTTATCTTATAATTTGGGGTGTTAAATACAGAAACGAAGTGTGAAGACGGACTCTATTCTAGATCGTTCCCTCATAATGAAAGCAGAGGTAACTCACGAGTAAGTTCCAGGCAAGTCCACACAGGTACCTCCGTTCTGACAGGGCTCGAGTAAACACTCATCCATATCCACCTCGCACGTCTGTCCTGTGTATCCGGGCAGGCACTCACAGGTAAAGCCTGATAGGCTGTTGATGCACGTGCCGTCGTTACGACAGGGAAAGTCCTGGCAATCGTTGATTGGTTTCTCACACACGTCACCTGATAAACGAGGCACAAAAAACGCTGCTTTTATTTTGACCAAAGAATCAGTGAGTGAATAAAATAGCAATGCTATTTAAACCGAGGACGCATTAAAAGTCACATATGACTTTTTTATTCGTGCGATTGTACCTGCTGTACGGAGACTGGTTTAAGGCAAACTATAGACTATAGTACTGGTCTATAATTACTCAAACATTGTCTGTTCTGGGATACTTAATTGGGGGGGGGGGGCTACACCTAAGAGTCCCGATCGGGCTGAAAATTATGGATTTTAAGTTGTAGGCATGTTTATCTTCCTCAGCCTCTCTTACAAATATATCATAGCTTTCGAACCCTGTAAAACCTTATTTTGTTCTATACCAGGCACGTTTGTTACCACCATTTCATCATAAGTCAGTCTTTTATTCTTATTTTTCGCCAGTTTTCTCATAAAGCCGTTTTTCTATACTTATTTTTAACAACTCCACCATTTTTCGTCCAATCTTTATGAACTCTTCACAGAATGAAGAGAAGGTGTAATACTTAAAGTTTGTTTGCTGAAATTTTGATGGGGGTTTCTGGAGTATGGATTTTCACGGATTTTTTTTTCAAACTTGAATACTATCCCTGAAAAAAAATCATTTAAAAACTTATAACTCCTTTAGGAAAAATTCAACTAAATTTTTTTTAGATCTAACATGCATGCAAAAAAAATAAATCTATTTCCATGAAAAATAAGTGCGGTATTCGTTACGTAAGACATGTCAACGAAATCCAATATGGAAACGAAACTTTTTTCTCAGATTTGATTGCAGATTTAGACTACTTACTGTGCTTCTTATAAATTATGTGTGAAATTTGGGAAAAATGAATCCACTAACAAGAGAGATAGCTTTCAGGTGTAGCCCCCCCCCCCCTTTTAAACCTCCCAATGCCTTCTGGCTAACACTTTTGACATGTGCTACGAGGAGCAAATATGTTAAAAGAAAAGTTTTAGGGAAAATTAGTATTTGTGTATGAATTTTACAGACTGACAATAGTTAACACTATCACATTTTGAGGAAAACTTCTAAGTATAAAAAAATGTGTCACTGTTGCAATGACATAAGTCATTATATAAAAATATAATTTGTATAGTGCATATCCGAGCTAAACAGCAAGGTCTATGAGCTTTTAAATCTATATTATTAACCTAGCAGACCGTAGAACACTTAGGAACATTTTCGACTCCCAGGGAAACATACAGTGCAAGCAGCCAATTAAGTGCTCAACACTGAAAAGCTGACAAGATCACTCGCTGTCTATAATCTGGTATCCTGACAGAGTCGAACCCACGACACTTTGACTCCGAGTTAAACAGCTAATCTAGACTATCGACACCACATGATTTGTGCCAATTTCATTCCCTTTCCCTGATACAAATTAAAGGTTATGTGCACTTTGCTATCTCAATTGGTATCGTGCAGAAGATCCTGGTTAAGATCCGAAATGACATGTCCTTGAACATGTGTTGTTCGAGACAAGTGTGGAGGGGTGGGGGTGCCATGTCGCTTCATCCCCTTGGGTCAGTCCCTTTGGAGATGGTCCTTAGATGTGTGTTCCACCTTTTAAAAAACACCTTTCCAGTTTTGAAAGGAGACTTGAGCCTATACCAAACTGCATAATGAAAGATGGTGATTTTTTTTATACCACTGCTTCCCTATGTGAACAGGTTCTTACACTTGAAAACATCCGAGGTTTTTATCTACAAATTTGAGTTTACATCCATCATTTTCTTCAGCTGCTTAATTCTTACTCGAGGAGCCAATTGGGCCCTTGGTCCTTATAATATCACATAATTATCAGCGAGCCTCACACAATGTAAAAAAGAATGTTTTCAGTTGCCCTATGAATTCTTCAACACATGCGCCTGACAATGCATAGTAAAGTGTTTCATTCTACCCCAACTAGGTTTGCGTTTCTGATGGTGTTCTATGGATATACTAATCCGTACACTCTATACGCACACATGGTCATCATTGAATAATCCTAGTCGAACAGTAAGACGGTGGATTTCCAATTTCATAAGTTTCCGGTTGTTTTCCATGGTTCGTCCAGTTACAAATGAGTACTAACTTGCTCATCTATAAAGATGGAATATTCTATAAACTTTAGTAGTATGCACTTAATGCACAGCTGCGTGTCCCAAGAGGACTGAAAAGGTAATCGGGTCTGAACAAGCCGACTCCAAGAGTTTATCTTCCCAGCTGTAACAAAAACCACTTCAGTAATGATATGAGGTTTGGGAAAACGAACCCGTATATCCTGGAGGGCAGTTACAAGTGAAAGAGTCGATGCCATCGACGCAGGTTCCTTGATTGGTACAGGGCTTTTTCTCACAGTCGTCTATGTTGACCTCACAGTTTTTGCCTGGAGAAAAGAAAATCAAACACGTTCTTAAACCCATGCAGCTGCTTTGATAGTATTGCTCTAGCTGTCTGTCTATACGTTTGCCTGTCTGCCTGTCTGTCTTTTTCTCTGTCTGTATGTCTCTCTCTCTTTCTTTCTCTCTCTCTCTCTTTCTCTCTCTCTCTCTCTATCTATCTCTCTATCTATCTATCTATCTATCTATCTATCTA